GATTTGCGAGCCCAGAATGAGCGTGATAATAATTTCATTTATAACGCCAAAAATGCGGTCAGTCAGGGCATATTTCGGCATTTAATGGCGCTGCTACTGCCCAGGTCAGTTTATAACATGGTGGTATTAAGGTCTGGCAAAGGTCAATCAAACGATGAATACTTTCGTCAATTGATTGACAGTATTATTAGCGACAGAAATAGCGGTGAATTGTTTCACGAATTTAAAGATTTTATTTCTTTATTATTGGAGGCGGAGGTCGACGATAATGACGGTAATGTATATCGACTTTTTAAAATGATTGCATATTAGGTTCCAGGTCTTTTGGCATAATTACCAGTCTGCAAACAGTATATTTCACGTACACTTAGTTGTTTAAATAATTTTATGATAAACAAGGCTAGTAAAAATTTTAATAATTCTAGGCAACCTATACCTAACCAAGCATGTTCCCATTTAAAATAATTAATTTATTAAATTATTAAGTTTTAGATAAGATTATCTAGTTCCATTTATAATGTGATTTACAATTAAGCAATGCCAATTATTTATTGTTCCAATTGTAACCAAGGGTGTTTTAAGATATGCGCGATTAGTTACTAAATATCACACATACAAAATATCAAATATGTTAATATGACCTTCACACAAAAATTATAGCCACAAACGGGTCGACACCTAACTCTCAGCCAAACCCTAAGCGCATAACAAGCGACGAAATCGTCGCCAATATATACGCCTTTCTGATCGTCGGCTTCGACACCATTTCAAATACCCTGTCGTTCGCCGCATACGAGTTGGCGCGCAATCCCGACGCCCAGCGCCGGCTGAACGATGAGATTATTACAGCCTCGAGAGCGTCGCCACCGGTAGAGAGCGCGCCGATCGTCGGCTACGACCAGTTACCGGGAATGCCGTTTTTGGACGCCATCGTATCGGAGACCCTACGACTACACCCGAGCTCACTGTTCCTCAACCGGTGCCCATCGACGCCATACACCGTCGCTGATATGGACACGCAATTTCGGGGTCCGCCCCCAAACGGCAGATACGTATAGGGCTGTATCCTATCGTG